ATTTGTAGAGCATTAATTCTATTACGTCGTCTTTGATTTAGGGTAGTTATGTGGAAAATTTTGGTATTTGCATCCCGTTGGCTAATCCAATTAATGCGTGATCTCAACTTCCAGAAGTCATCTTCGGACTCAATAGTTTGTTGAAATCGAGCGTCAGTGTTCGCTCAAGATCCTGGAGGAAGTTACTTTCAGCATATCGAGGGGATGCTTGTATTCCCCTGAGCCTATTGATGATATTTTGTTTTTTAAGGAATATGTCCCAAAGGTTAACTTACTCCAAGTTGTGGCTTCAGTTTCAAAGTTCCGTATAGATTCAGCTAAAGGACAACCTTTACCCCAGATTGAGTTGACTATATTCTTAAAGTCGGGGTGCGATGTCCACATAGTTTCCAGTCTAAAAAGTTTATTAATTATATTATGGGGGTTCTTTTGAGAGAGATAAGTAGAGGACAGTGATCCGAGTGTGGTAAACTTGGGCGTCGGGGTATTTTTGTAACCACTCGTCATTAGCCATAAATCTGTCCAATCTCTCAAGGATCAGCTTTGATTTGTTTTTAAATATTTTATTTAGTCAAGTGTACTTGCTACCCTTTTAGACCATGTCTATAAACTGGCACTAATTTATGACGTCGATAAAGTCCCTAGCACGTAAGCAGTTAATAGGGTTACCGCCGTTTTTTTCAAAATTTGAAGTTAGCTCATTAAAATCACATCCGATGAGCCACATACCTTTATAAGATGTTTTAATGTTCCCAAGATTTTCCCATAAGATCTTCCTATTACATCTAGAGGAGCTAGTATAAATGCAACTAAATAGCCAAGTAGATGTAGAAGAGTGTATCTTAATCATTGCATGCACTTCTTGTGAGGTTGTTGCGATCTAGTCAAGCTCCAGAAAATTGTCGTCCCAAAGTACGACGATACCTCCTGAGTTCCCAATAGCCGGGACTTGTATCATTTTGTTAAAAGGAAAGCTTTCTAGGAGGGTCTGATGGCACTGCATCTTAGTTTCTAGAAGAGCCACCAAAGGTGGCTTATGCCAGTCGAGTAGGGAACGAAAATTCCTCCTAAATTCGGCTCCATTACAGCCTCTACAATTCCATACAATTATATTCATTGGTGTGATTGAGTTTCGCAGGTCTATCAATGGCAGACTCCTTCTGGCTTCCGCCTGAGCTGCATGTTCCCTTAATAGTGGGTTCATGATTAGAACATAGTTCCTTCATATATAATCTCTTATGATCATAGTATTGGGTAGGGAGTTCCGGTAATCTCAACCAAATTGCAGTGATAGTTTCCTTTGCACTTGATGCCACGAAGTATGGTTGCCATCGCCTTATGGATAGGAAGAAACCATTGATGAACCAGGGACCCCCATGGAGGGACCCGTGAAGTAGTCATGTCCTAGGTCGATTAGTAAGATTTCCTCGTTTGTTTTCCATAGGGCTGTTAGCTTACTTTTCAGGTATAAGTGGGTCATATTTTCCCTAATAGTTTGATGATAAGCAAGTAGGCCGATGGTTGATAAATTCTTGTTTTTTCCGCACCTGAGAGGATGATAGCATTATCATCCCCCTTGGTTAAGGCCTAAGGGGTCTATCTTGTTTGACCTTTCTTCGCAATCCATTTGGTCCGTCAGTATATTACCATTTATTAAGCGGATGGTAGTTAATTGGCTAATTTGGCTTGAAAAAATGTAACATGTCCCATCATTATGGTCTCATCATAGAGGAGGTACTGAATAACCTCAACTATCACTATGAACTTAAATACACGGAACATTAGAGGTATGTGCAACGCACATATTAAAAAATGAACATGTAACGCACGTGTTAAAAAAAACTAGTAATAAGTATTATAAGTAAAAAGGGTTCATTGCTTATCTTGGACAAAATAACTAAAAGGGTTCATCTTCCTCATATAAAAAAAGTTGATTTGCTTCGATTAAGAATGAATCACCATCCAAAAATAGAAGGGAGAAACACCTTAAATAGGAGCGCTATCACTTGTAATAAAGTTTTTAAACAAACTTAAAATTCAAAGTTCCTCTTATCAAGATGGTGATTTTATTATCGAACAAGAATGAATCATAGTCGGTCCTAAAGAGGTAACCAAAAAAATCGACTTAACGCAAATATAAATTTGTCGGCGAATAAATAGTGAATATTAAATTATTACATCAAATAATAATACTATATAAACTAACATATTAATGTATGATTTTTTACCATTTCGTTGTATTGTTAGCATATAACATTTTATTTCATGAACTTGATCAAAATGATAGCGTAGTGGTACATCATAAAGAAATATTTTGCCACACACTCGACATGCAATTAAATTAGTATAAGTCACTGTTATGTTTCTCTTAACTAAGCTGATATTGATTCAGCTTAGTTAAGAGAAACATTACGGTGACTAATTATACTAATTTAATTGCATGTCGAGTGTGTGGCAAAATATTTCCTCATGTTGTGTCACTACTCTATCATTTTGATCAAGTTCATAAAAGAAAAGGTTATATGCTAGGAATACAAGGAAATGGTAAATCACACATGAACATATTAGTTTATATATTATTATTATTTGATATAATAATTTGATATTCATTATTATATTTATTTTCCAACCTATTTATATTTTGTTAAGTCAGGTTTTTTTTTGTTACCTCAATTGAGGACCGACTATGATTCATTCTTGTTCGATCAGAAAATCACCATCTTGATAGATTATACGGAAGACTTATCAAAATTAATTAGATTTGTATTATCATATATATACCAAATAGGTCCTGATTGGATGTAATCTCTCAACTTTTAACCCAATAGGAACTCTTTGGTTGAGATTGCTTTAAGGAAGATAATTTGCTAATCGAATCAAAATAAATCCCCACCCTAAAAAGGAATTGATAAACAATTCGATCAGGAGCACTTTCCCCTATATGGAGGTTTTTAAATAAATTAGGAATTTAAAGTTCCTCTTCCTCCAATAAAGAAAGTGAATTATTAATCGAACCAAAATAAATTGCCTCCCTTAAAGAGAATGGAGGAACACTCTAGTGAGGATCGCTATAAGGAAGTTTTCCACATAAACTAATAATTCAAATTTCATCTTCCTTATATAAAAAAAATGTGATTTGTCTCGATTTAGAATAAATTGCAACCTAAAAATAGAAGGGAGAAACACCATTGATAGGATCGTTTCCCATGTAAAAAAGTTTTCAACCAAAATAAAAGTTAAAACTACCATATTCATGAAATTTTTACTTTCCTTATACAGTGTATGTAGCACTAACATATTCCAACAATCTTATATGATTATGCAAAATCTTATACTAAATCACTTGTACTACTCGTGCAACGCACGTGCCCCACATGGATGGTCGTTAATTGGCTAATCAAGCTTGAAAAAATGTAACGACATGTCCCATCATTATGGTCTCATCATAGAGGAGGTACTGACCAACCTCAACTATCATTATGAACTTAATTACACAGAACGTTAGAGGCCCATGCAACACACGTACTCAAAAATGAACTCATATAACCCCACGTGTTAAAAAATTAGTAAGTCTTATAAGCAAAAAGAGTTCATTGTTTATCTTGGACAAAATAACATAAGGCTTATTGTCTTCTTTGAAGATAAGAGTTAAGGAACATAATGCTAAAGAAGTAGATGCTAAATTTGGTAGGAAATAGTATTGGTGTCATAACTATACTACCAGTGAACAACTCCAACATAACTTTTGATTTCACTCTGGTTAGATCGATGCCCTGGTAAGGAAGTTTTACTTAAACTAATAATTCAAAGTTCATCTTCCTCATGTAAAAAATGTTGATTTGCGTCGATTTAGAATGAATCACCATCTAAAAATAGAAGGGAGAAACATCCTAGATAAAAATGCTTTCCCTTGTAAGAAAGTTTTAAACAAACTAAAAATTCAAAGTTCTTATTAAGATTGTGATTTTCTGATCGAACAAAAATGAATCATAGTCGGTCCTAAAGAGTTAACAAAAAAAATTGACTTAACGCAAATATAAATTTGTCGACGAATAAATAATGAATATCAAATAATAATACTATATAAACTAACATATTCATGCATTATTTTTTAGCATTTCGTAGTATTGTTAGAATATAACATTTTCTTCCATAAACTTGATCAAAATGATAGAGTAGTGGTAAATCATAAAGCAATATTTTGTCACACACTTGACATGCAATTAAATTAGTATAAGTATATGTTATTTTTCTTTTAAGTAAGTTAAATCATATATTAATTCAACTTAGTTAAGAGAAACATAACAATGATTTATACTAATTTAATTGCATGTCGAGTGTGTGGCAAAATATTTCCTCATGTTGTGCCAATACTCTATCATTTTGATCAAGTTCATAAAAGAAAAAGTATATGCTAGCAATACAAGGAAATGGTAAAATCACATATGAATATATTAGTTTATATATTCTTACTATTTGATATTCATTATTTATTTTTCAACCAATTTATATTTGTGTTAAGTCAGATTTTTTTTGTTACCTCTTTTAGAACCGACTATGATTCATTCTTGTTCGATTAGAAAATCACCATCTTGATAGGAGAAAGAGGAACTTTGAATTTTTAGTTTGTTTGAAAAACTTCTATCTAGAGTGTTTTTCCCTTCTATTTTTGGGTGACAATTCATTCTAAATCTAGGTCAATTACATTTTTTAATATGAGGAAGATGTATTTATATAATTCAATCTTTAGATAATTAAAATATTATTATTTAATTAGATATTTAATTAAATTATTAATTTACTAGAGGGGCAAAATGGTAATTCAATTTTTAAGATAGGAACTTTCCACCTTAAAAATTATTTATATAAAAATGTCAACACTAGAAGGAACTTTTCCATATTTTTTCCTCATGAAAATAATAATCATCATCAGCAACATCATACCTAGTGTAATCCCACTTAGTAGGGTATAAAGAAGGTTGAGAGTATGCAAATCTTACCACTACTTCGTGGAGATAAAGAGATTGTTTATGAAAGACCTTCGGCTCAAGTGCATCAATCCAACTAAAAAAAGAAGGAAACACTCAATTAAACATAGCCGAGATGGAAGATGGAAGATGAAAGTGAAAGAAAAATTTACATAAATCAGTAATGTGACAACGGATAAATTTTGGAGACAAAATTGAGTGACAAGGTGTCCAAGAAGAACAATAAATATAACGACATGTCCCATCATTATGGTCTCGTCATAGAGGAGGTACTGACCAACCTCAACTATCATTATGAACTTAATTACACAGAACATTAGAGGCCCATGCAACACACGTACTCAAAAATGAACTCATATAACGCACGTGTTAAAAAACTGGTAAGTCTAAGCAAAAAGAGTTCATTGCTTATCTTGGACAAAATAACATAAGGCTTATTGTCTTCTTTGAAGATAAGAGTTAAGGAACATAATGCTAAAGAAGTAGTTGCTAAATTTGGTAGGAAATAGTATTGGTGTCATAACTATACTACCAGTGAACAACTCCAACATAACTTTTGACTTCACTCTGGTTAGATTGCTGCCCTGGTAAGGAAGTTTTACTTAAACTAATAATTCAAAGTTCATCTTCCTCATATAAAAAAAAGTTGATTTACCTCAATTTAGAATGAATCACCATCCAAGAATAGAAGGGAGAAACACCCTATATATGAGCACTTTCCCTTGTAAGAAAGTTTTAAACAAACTAAAAATTCAAAGTTCCTCTTATTAAGATGGTGATTTTCTGATCGTACAAAAATGAATCATAGTCAATCCTAAAAAGATAACAAAAAAAATTGACTTAAAGCAAATATAAATATGTTGGCGAAAAAATATTGAATATCAAATAATAATACTATATAAACTAGCATAATCATTCATGATTTTTTAACATTTCGTTGTATTGTTAGCATATAACATTTTCTTCCATAAACTTGATCAAAATTATAGAGTAGTGGTACATCATAAAGAAATATTTTGCCACACACTTGGCATGCAATTAAATTAGTATAAGTATACATTATTTTTCTCTTAAGCAAGTTGAATCATATATTAATTCAGCTTAATTAAGAGAAACATAGTGATGATTTATATAATTTAATTGCATGTCGAGTATGTAGCAAAATATCTTCTCATGTTGTACCAGTTCATAAAAGAAAAGGTTATATGCTAGCAATACAAGGAAATAGTAAAATCACACATGAACATATTAGTTTATATATTATTACTATTTGATATTCATTATTTATTTTCCAACCAATTTATATTTGTATTAAGTCGGGTTTTTTTTCATTACCTCTTTTAGGACCAACTATGATACATTCTTGTTCGATCAGAAAATCACCATCTTGATAGGAAAAAGAGGAACTTTGAATTTTTAGTTTGTTTGAAAACTTCCTTACAAGAGAACGCACTCCTATCTAAGTAGTTTCTCCATTCTATTTTTGGGTGACAATTCAATCTAAATCTAGGCCAATTACATTTTTTAATATGAGGAAGATGTATTTATGGATGTATTTATAATTTTATATAATTCAATCTTTAGATAATTAAAATATTATTATTTAATTAGATATTTAATTAAATTCTTAATTTAGTAGAGGGGCAGAATGGTAATTCAATTTTTAAGATAGGAGCTTTCCACCTTAAAATTTATTCATATAAAAATGTCAACACTAGAAGGAGATTTTCCATCTTTCCCCTCGTGAAAATATAATCATCAACAACAACAACAAACCAAGTGAAATCCACTTAGTAGGGTATGAAGAATGTAAAGAGTATGCAAATCTTATCACTACTTCGTGGAGATAAAGAGGTTGTTATGAAAGACCTTCGGCTCAAGGACATCAATCCAACTAAAAAAAGAAGGAAACACTGAATTAAACATAGCCGAGATGGAAGATGAAAGTGAAAGAAAAATTTAGATAAATCAGTTATGTGATAACGGAGAAATTTTGGAGACAAAATTGAGTGACACGGTGTCCAAGAAGAACTATACACGAGTGTTAGCCTTTGAAATATGCATAGGTATATTTCAGAGATTGATGATAGATCAAAGCATCATGTTTGGCCAGTTCATTTAACTATAATACACAAAAAGAGCTAGCCTCCAAAAGGCGGGTTGGTTCATTCAATCCCACAAAAAACTCTCAAACTTTTGGGCTGATTTCTATCCATATCACGTTTAGAAGGCCATGGCCGCAACCTTAGTCCAAACATTAATGAAATTATCTCTGCATTTCATGATGTGGAAGTGCGAAAGAGAGGAATCCAAACCTCATAAACAGAGGTTCGATAAATCTATACTTTGTAGAGAAGCACTTAGATAGGGAACTCAAAGATACTAAGGTAAATAGCAAGATGCACTTGTCAACAATCATCAAAATTTCAAGGAGAATGACCTAAGATGCTTTATGAATAGACTTAGTACACATTGGAAACATGGATTACTTTATTAATCCAAGATTTAAGCTCACAGAGAACTTAAAAGTCAAAACACACACAAAAAAAAGCTTTCAAATGATTCCCTTTAATGCAGCAGCTATATACGTAAAAGGGGTTGTAGATATACAAAATATAAGCTGAAAAAACACAGTTTTTAATAATCAAGTGACAATCTTGAAAAAGTTCTACTCCTACTATATACACATTAATCCCAAATAGTTTGGGTAGACCATAACAACAACAGCAACGATACCCAGTAAAATCTCGCAAGTTGGGTTTAGAGAGGATAGAGTACAAACATATCTTACCTCTAACTTGTTGATAAACAAACTCCGCATAAATAAAGCACGCCAAATAGTTTGAAAAAGGGATACACATATGGGAAAAATAACAAAAACGAAATAATGTGAAACAAACAACTAAATAGATGGGGTAGACCATAGGAATACTAAATCCTCTCTGCTATGTTTCATTCCAATACTAAATACAACAAATAACAAAATGAAATCACACATACAACAAATTTTTTTCAAGAATTATCATTTGGGGTTTGCGATGCTTACTTGGTGAAGCCATGGAGACTGTCCCTTTCTCCCTCACTCGCCTTTCTCGTCTGTTTCACGGAAGACTCCTACACAAGTTATGGAGAGATTAGTTATTACCATATAAGCATTATTTTCTTCAAGTGTTGCATTAATTAAAGGACATTTGTCTTGTCTGTCAAATGCCGGCAAGGCCCTGGAATAACCTAACAATTACTGAGGCGGGCTGAAGAGACGTCAACATGGAAATTCAAATTGCATTTAGGTTTAGTATGAAAAAGTGTGGTTTCTAAATTCATTGTTCGAAATGAAGAGTTGGTGCTTAATAGATTTACTACTTATAACTGTTAAGGTAATACAGTTCCTAATAACATTTTTTTACAATTGCTAATATTACTTATGTAAAACATTAATGGGTACGAGAGGATTTACACAAGACCTAATACTATTTACAGTAAAAATAACAAGTTCCGTCAAAACATAATGATAAAATTTAGCTAAGCAAGTAACACAAGAGAAACAACTGACCTTTGAGCTTCAAACCAGCATCAGTGAGCTTTGAGCAGTGAAATAGACTGAGAGAATGAAGATGGGCTTGAGCTCTATAAGGATATCATTTGTGATGTTAGTACAAAATGGATGAACTATGTTAATATTTCTCCATAAAAGTGGATCTCCCTGCATACTCTTTCAACTACAAATAGGTCCCCCAAGCCTAAATAACCAAGGGACAGCAACCAACAACGCCTGCGATGGATTACCTCCATCCACACCACAATGATCATTCACCATCCATCAGACCATGACCACCGTTCAACCCCTCCCTGAAATTCATCCCCAACGGCTCACAATTTCCATCAATCAACTAGAAACCCGCACCCTGATGAATTCCCATCTTGCGAATCAAGCAAGAATTTAAACCCAAAATCCTCTAACCAACTAGTCATGGCTGAAAAACCCATCCTTAATTTGGTTACTACTGTCCATATCAAACGGATCCCAAGGCAACAGATTCATCAAGCTCCTCTTTTTCCCAATTCAAACCCCAAAACTTACCAAATCCCCCCCCCCCCCCCTTTGTTCAATTTTTGCTCTTG